TTGTTCACCATATGCGCCGCAACGCTTTACCGACAGCTGTGGTGTTTTTGACATACCGGGCAGTTGGCCGGATCACGGAAACGCAAAAGCACTGCCTATGGGTTTAATGCTGGCGTTTCTATGCGGGGCTTTTTTAAGTGGGGGAGGGGGTTCTATGGGGTTGCACCACCTGCATGTATTTGGCGTGGTGGGCTGTAATACTCGCAGCAGCCAGCCGTAGCGGTGGGATGCACCAGTGCGAAAAGGAGCCAGGGCTTCCCCCCCTTCGTGGGCAAAGCTGGGATCATTGCGTGTCGGGTTGCAATGGCCGGTGATGCTGGAGCGGTGGGTGGATGGTTTGGGCAGCTGGCTGCGTACGTGGTGTTTCGCCAGCGCTGCTTCCTGCGGTATCTGCGTGCCCCCGCGCTGTGGTAGGTCAGAGGCCGCCTTGGCTTCCTTATCAAATGCCTCATTCTTCGCAACGCCACAGTGGCCAAATATAAATTGTAGCCGTATGCGTGCCTTGCGGCGTTGGAGGTCCAATAACAGGTTCCATAGGATTCGAAATACGGGATCTGTTACTGTCGATGGACCTGTTTGGAGTGCCATGCGAAATGGCAGGGATTCCGTGAAGGCGGAGACTCTGCACGGTCGAGTGTTATGACGGGGAATGATGTCCAGCAAGTTCTGCAGGCCAAATTGCAATGCGATTGATTCAGCCCGGAAGCTGCACACTATTGGTCTCGCACCTGACTTTGCTTGGGCAATGAGCTCTCCGTTGAGGTAAATCATGGCTGCTGCGCCAGATTGCAACCCTAGTTCGAGAAAGCTGTCCGCCCATAGTTTATAGTGGAGGCGTTCGGGTGCGGTGGGCCCTTTCCGGCGGAAGCGTTGGGCTATCCACCTGGTGCGTCTTTGAAGCTTGAACCCGTCCGGGTCCTCCGCGGCGAAGCCTTCGAACAAAGAGTGAAACAGGGCTCGATATGCCCACCGCAGCGTAACGGGCGCCAGGAGCGGGATCCTAGCTTCCATATGAAGTTCTGGGTATTGTGCCATGGTGGTGACGTGCGGTCGCTGTGCGGGGTGGGCGGCCGAGTATACCACTTCAGCGCTGTCACGCGTTGTTCCCCCTCGCGTTTCTCACAGAAGCATATGTTTGAGGCTACATGTGAACACTGCCGCACTTAGTGGCCGCCAGTTGGCCTCATGTAAAGCATCTTCTGTGCAGCTGCATTTTGGAATGCCGGCAATTATTGGCCCTGAAGAAAGTACACTTCGTTTTGGTCGCGCTGACTTCAATGAAGCATTAGCCCATTCAGAATGGCACCGTGTTTAGTCCCTGCTTTCAGGTGGTGGCTGTGGTCTCTCGGTTGCTGTGTCGGCCAATCGGGGCGAGGTCATCCGAAAAAAAAACGCGCCGTAATAGCAGGACTTCAGCCAATCTTGTGCTTAAAGAATTTATGACAAATAATAAACATGAGTGGTCCAAGAACTGTGCCTTATGGAACTCCTCGCGTAAAGAACGCCGGGGAGGGACGCAACCTGCTCACGCGAAGCGCTGCCGTCCCATTGCGCACAAAGGGTGTCGATCATCGCGCTATGTGTTGTGGCAGTCCTAGTCATTTCATTTCAAGTATATTTTTATTCTTTTCTAACATGTCAAATGCGTTCGCATAATCCACAAACGCTGTGGCCGTTCTATCCCTAGGAGTGGGGCGATGTTTGGTACCTTGCAGGTGGCAATGGTTGGCTCAATGTGGGGTGGGCTGGCCGGAATCCGGGCTGCTGCTGTGTGAACGCATGCTCTATAATATCACTAATGTGTGCTGCTACAATGCCCTCCATGAGCTTGCAGAGGCAACTTATGAGTGTTGTTGGCCTTCGTGGCTCTAGGTCAATCACTTTCTTGCCCAGTTTGAGGAGCAGGTTTATAACCCCGTGCCCCCAGCTTTGCGAAACGACGCCAGTGCGCAAGCTCTTGTTAAAGAGCATCAGAACAGATTATTTCGCGCATTTTCTGAGGTGTCGCAGTGACCCTCCGTGTGCCCTGTCGGGTCCCGGTGCCTGCCCCAGCGGCATGGGGCGCAGCGCGCGAGTGAGGCCAGCCATTGCTATTGACCGAAAGCCCCAACCCCCTGTTTTTGCCAGGGGTAGGGATTAAGATCGGGCGCCCCCCTCGCCATTGCAGCGTGCATGTGGGCCATGTGGTTCACTTTTCGGCCCTTTGAAAGTGCCACCCCGCCTGCCTTTCCAGCCGCCGTGCTGGGGGTGGGCGGGGGCGCGCAAACGCCGTATAATCTGCAAACCGCCACCGCCCGACGCCCTTACGCCCAGGCAGGGCGCACGCCACCGCCCATTGGCAGCTGCGCAAAGAATTTCCCTTTATCAAAACCTTAGCCTCTGGCTGGGTTGAGCGCGGGGCTTGATGGCATTTGCCCCGCCCCAGTCGGCCAGCCCAGGGGCTCAAAATAGAGATTGGGGGCGGTTACTCTCCAGCGCTGCTTTCGTTAGGGAAAGCCGCGCCCTG